AGAGATTTTGGGTCATAGATAAGGTTATATTTTTGGGTTGAGCTGTAACTAAATAATTGTGCAAAAGAAAAGCTGTACCCATTTTGAACTTTATGAAAAACTTGTAAGTGAAAGTTACAATAGTCATGAAGCTTTATGAAAAGCATTAGTATATTACATAGGGTAAGTTATATTATGTGTAAAATATCAGAAGCTCTAGACTAGATGTAATTTTTTATTTTCTGTAACTCATCAAATATACTTTTCTTTTTACTGTTCATTAATTGAAAAATATTTTAATAATTAAATGAGAAAGTTGTTTTCACAAATCTAGCACAGAACTTTAAATGATAGCTGCTGTTTTGGAATGTTTGCCACTAGTCTTATATAGTTGTTTAAAAATTGATGTAACTGTATAGTTCTTTTACAATATCCACTGTATTAAAAAATGTTAGACGAAACCACACACTTATTTTTCAATTTGTATTATTCAAGTGGCCATAAAGATATCAATAATTTTAGAAGGACTGAAAATTACAATTTTCATAAAAAATTAAGATAATTTTTCAAACATTTAATCTAGCTTGGTGATTTTTTGTGGTTTTATTTGGCTGCTATTTCTACACCTGTACTATATGTCTTACAGAAAATGTGGTAGATCAGTAATATCTGTGGTAAAAGATTTATAGATCTATGAACTGGTAGATAAATTCAAGTGCATGAGTAGTAGTATTCTTAAATATCATACACATATGTTGTATAAGTTTGTTTTCACTGTTTCATATATAGTATGTTCTATTTTACAGTGAAATTTATTTCTTATCGGGGGTTTCAAAAGATTGCAAAATTCTTATCATGTAAACAAGTACATCTTTATACATACAGTGTGTGTGTGTATGGATGTGACTGAGTAAAAGAAATAATTGAGTTTGGAAATTGTAAAAAATGTTAATAGTTGCACATGTTTTGAAAATTATAGATCTGTGTGTATACAGTTGTTGTAGGAATTATCTGTACTTTTGAGTGTATAATCATCTTTAAAAAAAATAGCATGTTTTTGGTGTAACACCTAACTGTGTATGTGTTCGTGAAATAAATGTAATTATACAAACTTTCTCTTGACCAAATGTCATTACTTCATATATGTATTCCTTATTTGTCAGAGTACAAGTGATAAGCATATATTTGTGTATAGTTATTTTTTTTTTTTTTTTGTATGATGTCAAGAATGATGTTTGTGAGTTGTGTATAGGTGATGACAAAAAAAAAAAAAAAGTAATGTGAAGGTTGTATTGGCAGTTGCAACCATGCCTGCTTTCTTTGTGAATTAAATGTTAAATGGTTTGGGGGGGTGATTGCAGACAAAGCATGTTATTGTTCCATAGTATATCTGTTCTGTGACAGCCTTGCATGTCGTCTAACATCTCTGGTGTCTCTTTGTTTTCTCACTGGCTGGACCAGCTGACTGGCATGCTTACTGGAATTCCTGGAGTACAGGTTGCTAGTTTTTTCTTTTTCGTCTTTACACTTTGTGCAGTATTGTAACTAATGGTGGAAATTCTGTGAAGATCTAACTAGTTGAGTTTTGCCTGTGAACTACTACAGTTTAGCTGCTTTTTTAACTAGGTATTTTGCTCTAGTTTGAATAGGCTAAGATGTGATTTTCAGCTATAAAGAGTATAACAAAAAGTTAAAATATTGTATTCCTTTTAAACATTTTGATTTGAAAAGACTTAGCAGTGGTGTGATCTTCACAGGAATGTCAGTAAGCTGGTTAAAACTTATTTGTCAGGTTCAGTTTCTAGTTTAAACTTGTGTAGTGTATGTATTTTTTAAACATCAGCTGTTTTAGAGTTGAGTAATATATGTTGTGATTAAAAAAGAAAAATAAATGTTCTGTATTGGAAGTTATTGAATACAAATGGATTTGTTAAGGATTTATCTTTTAAACCTAACAATTGTTATGTATCAGAGCTATAATGTAATGCAAACAGGGTAGCTAAAGATTGATAGAAGTAAATACTACAGGTCTGTTTGTGTCATTATATATATATATATATAGATGTATAGTTTAAAGAATTTATTTCATCAATTAACACTTGAACCTGAAATGAACAAAGAATATTGACATGAGAAAATTAAGAAAGATCAAATTACTAAAAGTAAGAAATTAAATACAAATGGGCTTTCAATGTTTAAAGATTTTGAAATGATAACTACAGACAAAAGAATTACAGTTCTTTGTTTTTGTATTCTTATCTTATTGTCTTTATGTCTAAATGATAGTCAACTTTGATTTGCAATGCTTATATCACAAACTTGTAGATAGGTAGTTTGGTTATAATTATACACAATTAGAAAATGTACAAAAGAAACAGGCAAGCTTTTATACTAACTGACAAAATGTCTTTTTTTTTTCAGGATTTCAATCTAACAGTCAATCTATATAACATATCAGCAATGTCACTAGTTCATGGTGTTAGGAAAACACATAGGTTCAAAAAATTAGTTTAAGAAAAAAATACAAAACCTTATTACTTGAGTTCACCTTTAAAAAGGGCTCTGTATTTTCGTCTAATAGTGTCCGTAAAATGGCCATTTGAGAAATGCAGGTTTTAAATGTCATTTTAATATCTCAGTAGCTCACTTGTGGCTTAGTGGTAAGCTTGAGGGCTTATAAGGCTAAAATTTGGTCTTTGAATCCTGTGATGGTCACAAATAATACCATCAGATTTTCCTTAATAAGTTATTTATATCCCTAGGATTAAGTTTTGTTGATACACGTATTTTGAAAAAAGTAATTAATTCTTACCAGTTTTAACTTGATCAAGTTTTCATTTTTTGATGTTTGTAAACCACATATAAAAACTTTCAACTCATCACAAGCAGGAAAAGCTGTGTTTAATCAAAAATCTTGTAAGTTTATTTATATTCGGTGTTTTTTTTCTGTACTTTCCTTTGAAGGCCAATACTCAACATAGTATGTCAATCATAATGTACACAAATAATAAAGTAATAGCCTTTTAAGTCATGATCATGTAAACTATTTAAATATACGAGACAAAAATTATCTAATGTAACTTACACAAATAGTAAAGTAGTAGAATTTTATGGCCTGTAAACTATTTAAATATATGAGACAAAAATTATCTAATGTAACTTACACAAATAGTAAAGTAATAGAATTTTATGGCCTGTAAACTATTTAAATATATGAGACAAAAATTATCTAATGTAACTTACACAAATAGTAAAGTAATAGAATTTTATGGCCTGTAAACTATTTAAGTACATAAGCCAAAGTTAGGAAATTATAAGATATGCTTTGATTTTAGAGGTTTCTGTGGATTTAGGATCCACCCAGTAGTGGGTATACAATTAATAAATGTATGCTGCTTTTCTGTGTTTGGCATTTGACTGATAGATTAATGAATAACTTACTCTGAATGAAAAAAGAAACACTGAAGTATTTTTATTGATATAGCTTTGGATTTGATATTGCATCAAGTATATTTACAATACACCTCATAATTTTATTTTCTTAAAAGAACTTCCCAAGAACCAAACTTGCTATCAAAATGCTAACCATTTTTTTATGAAATGGATGTAACTAATCTCGGTGCATAAAACAGAGGTACAACAAAAACCTTCTATATTAAAGTGATTAAGGAAACTTTAAACAATAAAAACTGTCAAATATGTGATTCGGTTCACGTGAAACTCAACGAGACTAACTTTTTATGGTAGTGGTATAACAGACTTTGAAATGAGGTATTTCTGTAACATCATCTATAGCATATATGTATATAAACTTTTAGGGAAAAGTTACAAGCACTAGGTAACTATAGTAATATATTTAATATCCAACTGTGTCCTGATACCATTTGAATTTACTTCCTGGTACTCATTACTTGTTTTTTTTTGTGCTACACCTGCTTGAGGACTTTAATATTGTACATAAGTCAGTGGAAACACATGCAAGTTCCATGTTCTTACAGAATTAACATTTATCTACGTATTTAGTTAAATGTTCTAATCAGAATTTATAACTTAAATAAAATTCTGTTTTTAACAATAATTTAAAATTACCTTTTTATAAGTTTTATTATTTTTGCATTCCTCATTAATCGGTAAATCAAAATGTATAACTTGATTGTTTTATTTTCAGTATCAAAGTAATTGAGTTTAACCTTGTCCAATTTAAAAAATGACCACTTGATAACTAAGATACATTTTTGAGATGTATAATTTTTACTTGTTTGTACATAACCTGAATAATTTACTTTTTAAAATAAATTAACAGTATGAATAAATAACTCTTGCTGTATTGAAATATTCAGTGGCTTGTCTAACATCTTGTATTAATAAATGAAGGTTACAATTAGCTTGAAATTATGTTATCTCAAGCTCTGTGCACTTCTAACTAATTTTTATGATACCAACATTGACAAGTTCTAACCAGCTTACTGTAGAGTACTTTAACTTAATTTATTTTGCTCAGTTTTGATTATTAAGATAATACATTATTATCTTAATATTATTAAAATATTAATCATTATTATTCTTTCTGTGTAGCCTTATATAAATGTGTTTAAGATATTAAAATGTTTGAGATAATCATTTTTATTTGCATACACATTACATGTATAATTTGCTCTTTTTTTTAATAAATTAACTTTATGGATAAGTAAAAAATAATTGTAGTTGTAATGAAACATTTAATGACTTGTCTTAACATTCTATGTTCGTGAATGAAGATTATAAACCCTTACATTTCAAATTCATGATCATTATGTAGTTTATCTTGGAAATATGTACTCATACATCAGAAGTACAAGAAAAATAATACAAACCAACAGCTTAAAAAGAAGTTAATGTACATTATGTATTTTCTGTCTGTATTTTTATATATGTGACATATTCATTTATTTTGTAATCTTTAGTATAATATATTTCTATTTTGTTTTCCCTCTAAGTCCTTTCTTTTCATTGACTTTGATCTGATTGTGAAATCTTACCAGGGTTCTTAAAAAGCAAACGAGAAAAGAGGAAGGAAAAGAAGAAAAAGAAGAAGGAAAGTCAATGCAGAATTGACGACCAGGCTGAAGCACCTGAAAAGTAAGCACAAGATACTGTGTGTGTCTTTGTAATAAATGGTATGGTCCAAGTTTATTTAGTAGCTTCTTTGAAATGAGAATTAGTATTTAGGACTCGGGTTTTACTTGTGCCTAACCTTAACTGTTTTATTGTAGTTAATAAACATTTTTTTTATTCTTCATAACAGTGATTATTATTACAGAAAATGATCTTTGAGGTGTTTAAAGTATTTTCTTAATGACCTTGTTGAAATTTTAGTATTATAACACCAAGAGAAAATTAATGAATTCACCTAATATTTATAAAACACCAATAAATAGCAATTGTAAACAATTGTATTCAAAATAAATTTGCATTTTTGTAATTAATGTAATTGCTGTAAAGCTCCTAGGTAAAGCAATATTTTGAAAGACTCCTTCATTCATAGATTATTTTATGTATAAATTAGTTTAGTATTTTAGGCAAAAGGATGTATGAACAATATTTTCAACTTAAAATAAATACATAAATATATCCACCTAGTCTGTGATATTGCTGTTTTGTGAATATTTGGATATTATTTCTGATAGATTAGCTCATTAGTGAATTTTCTTAAATATGCGATCTATGTTCATTGAACATACAAACAAGCACAAAGTGATTGGCCACTTTATTTGGACCTTCCATTCCCCTAAACACACTTGTGAAACACTACATTTATTTATGTGTGTAAAATTAGATGGTTATATGATGGTTGTTTTACATGTAGTCACATCAAAATCATAGTTAGTGTGCAAAACTGTGGGTAAGAGCAAGGTTCTCTCCAAATTTCACAAAGACATGATAGTACATTTCAGTTGGACATCTTTTTTTGACTGAATGTTCAAAAACATCTCTCATCAAAGTATATCTATAGTACAATCAAAAAGTCATATTCTACCAAAAACGAAAAACTTGTATATCAAAACAAAAAATGTATTAAATGAAATAGTCTCCATTCTTATCCACGATGCTTTTCCACCTTACAATCAGGTTGTTAATGCCCTGATTAATCAAATCACTTGACTTTGAAGCTAAAAACGTGTCGATGTCCTGTTTAACACCTTCCACATTTGCGTATGTTTTCCCATTAAGATGGTGTTGCAGGGAACAAAAAAGATGGTAATCTGATGCGCCATATCTGTAGAATATGGTTGTTAGGGGAGAGCTTCCCAACCCAACTCCATAATCTTGTGTGGATATGCATTGTAATGGAGAAGAAAAACACCTTTCCGATTGACGAGTGAAAGGCATTTCTGATG